GTCCCTGAATCCGCCATCACCATATTCCTCGGGCAGAATCATGGAGACTTCATCCGCCATTGGAAGGTTCTCTCTTCTCATGTTTGCCCCGGACTCTACAATCAAACTCAACTTTGGATCCAGGATGATGCGGAAGTTTTGCTCATCCTCAGAGATTGTTGCCAACCTCTCTTTGGCTGTATGATACAGCCGGATGTAAGGGCAAGTCTCCTGCAACATCCCAGTAAGTGAGCTGATCAGGGCCCCATCTAGATCTAGAGCTCCAGCGGATCGCACTTGGGCCGCATGGGCCGGATCATAGAGGTAGACCTGCGAAAATCGGGCATCCTGACCACTGGGTGCAACCAGTGGTCCTTGATGATGGTAGACCGCACCATGAACTTGGAAAAGTTGAAAACCTTCTCCAATCGCGGTTGGGCGGTCATCCATATTGTAGCTGATGGATGTGAATGCAAACTGGCTATTCCAGTGCCTCAGCCCCTCCCTAAATCTTCTTGATGCCGGTTCCATTCCCGTCATCAAGGTATGGAGGGGTTCTGGTAGTGGCCGCATTCTTTCAACTATAGCATCCCCTCCCTTGCAACAGGACTCGAAAGCACCTGCTACTTGGTTGGTTCTTTCTTTAGACTTCTCAGCACGCCAGTGCAGGGCATTGCAGCCACTGCATACAACATTCATCTGACCCAGATCACTCTGGGTCCAATGTGCCCGCTTCTCAATAAATGCTGTGAACACTCTAGTCTGCAGGGCGAGCGCTCCAGAGATATGTTCAACAGCAAGTATAGGAGCGGCGGGCTGTTGCTCTGCTTGTGCTGAGTGTCTTTGATCCCTCTGTGTAGCCTAATAGGATGGTTGTTAGTTCTTTGCTTCACCAATTATATAACAGTTCAATAATGATATTAACTTACCAAACATTCGCGACAACTGCTCTGTAACCTTCCTCCCAGTGTGCGATCAAATTCTCCCACTCCTTTCTCTTCCCGGCATCTTATACAGCTCCGCAGCTCCATCCTATTCTCTAAACCTGTTTGCTCATGGTATAGTAGTGTTCCACATGGTTCCAACAATTGATAGGAAGAGGGAAAAGCAAAGGGGGCTATGGGTAGGGCACTTACCTGTTCTTGTATTGGTACCAGTGGTGCTGGTTGACTGGTAGCTGGAGGCGAGTAGTCGAATAGTCCGGTCGCTGTGGTTGTTGGAAGTATATATGCGGGTGGTGGTGGTACTGGGGGTGCTGGGGGTGTTGGGGGTGCTTGGGGCGCTGGTGGTGCTGGTACTGCGGGGAGTGGTGGGGGCTCTCGGAGCACTCTTCTCCTGTCCTTTTATTCCAAAGTACTAAGTTAGAATATACAGTTGTGCCAGATTCGTAGCCAACAATTTGAAGAGTACCTACCAAGCATGGTCTGCAAGATCTCATGCGGCGGCCATTTGAATTAATATCAAAGGCATTCAATGGTTTCTCGTGCCTGCACCGTCCACACATATGCATGGCAGGTATCATTTTTCCTGGATTCAGTATTAGCAAGTTGGGAAATCAATATATTGGGGAGAGTTAGGGGGGATGAAGGTTTAATAGTTGCTGAAATTGTTCTTTTTTTGTTATGAAAAAGCGGAAAAAGAAGAAAAGAAATTGAGCTCAAGCGGACCGAGGTGGTTGAGCAGGGAGGGAAGAGGAGGAGGAGGAAAATATTGCTAATATGGAAGAAGCTGGTTGCAGTGCCAAGGATTTTTCAATCTTACTTTTGCTCTGTTACCCTGCTGAGATATAGCAGAAATGCCAAGCCAAAACAGTTTTCTTGTCATTTTGCCAATTCTGAAGCTTTATGGTAATTTCACATCCTCAACTAACCAGTGTTTTTTGCATCACTACTTTGCTTATCTTTTCAACGTATTTATTTAGCTTCTCAATCTTGTACTCAGGTGGTTGGAATTGGAAACAAATAGGTTTGGTTGTTTTGGTGGAAAAATAGATCAGAGATTAGTAGAGTCTAGGCAGTGTCGCCAAGCCACCCCTGCTGGTTACCTTTCTCCTTTTTTTCATTGGCTTGCAATTTTCCTCTCCACTCCTATTTCTTTCCATTTCCATCTCACTTTATCTCCTTCTTTCCTTTATCTATCTCTCCTTTTCCTCCCTTTCTTTCTCCCTTTTTTCTGAATTTTTATGCATCGCTGGGTGCCGCTATCGCGGTTTCCTTTTCCTCTTGCTGGCATTCCTCTCCCCAATTTGAAGGGTTGAGGAGAGGGAGGTTGGCCCAGCAACTGTGGGGAGGACTATCAGATGGATCGTCCGAGATAGCCAACGTCGTCGGCCAATGGGAGGCCCCTGATCGTTGATAAGATCGTTTTTTGAGATCGGTTTTCCAGTACATATATAGATATATTGGGGTTTCTTACTTTATTCTTTCCTTCCATACTTCTTTCCTTTTTTTTACTATCTTTGGGAGGTGCTTGCTCTTTTGTTTATCTATTGGTCAAGTTATTCTGTTCCTGCCGACAAGTGTTTTCTAAAACTACACGTATATCTGCTTTTTTATTCTCCTCTGTGCCATGGCTGCTCTTAGTCAACCAATCAATATCCATGTGATGGCCATCACCATCATCATCTTCAATCAAATATTCAAAGCTTTAATTGAAAACCTATAGCCTCCTGAATAGTCCTCAAATCCGGCACTTCACACGCGATCACTCGCGCATTTCATTAGGTGTGATAAGATGAATGAGGGAGAATCTTAAGATATGAGCATTACGTTATGGCGCTCTCGTGCTGGTGCCCGGGTGTACATTTCTGGTATCCAATCATCTTCAGATCCTACCAGACTTACGGTCGGACCTAACTTAACTCATCCTTTTTTGTATTATATTCTAGCGGTGATTGCTAGCATAAACGATAATGAATTTCTGGCTCTAGCAGAGAGAATTAGGTATGTAAATTCGGTTTTCCGGAGGAATTTTTTGTTCTGGTAATGCCAGATCTAGCCTTCGAGTGAGATGTCTGCTTTATCAGGAGGGGCAACTTGAGCTGATAGAGAAGAGTAGTCGAGAGAAGGCTTAATAGTACCTACTCAATCGTCATAAAGTTTATATCTAGTGATTGCGCATGACGCTGCCTGGGCTCCGGTCTAGACTATTTAACGATATTAATTATAGTAATTCGTTTGGCACGAGGTGGTGGTGAAAGGATTTAAAAGCGCGACATAGCGCGTGAAGCTATGATCATCTACAAGTCCATACCCATATTTGGGGAATAGTAAGAGTAACGGCTTGCCGTTATACTTTCATCGACCCAGTTTTATTCTCCCAAGCTCGCCAACAATAGCCTAAATAGAGTTAGTAAGAATAGGGGGCCCCCCTAGTATTATTGAGCATTTTCTAAGCTAATGGAAAAGAACTTTCCATCCGTCGACATTGAGAATAGCTTTAAGTCTAGTGGTTTATGGGATACCGTAGGTCACCATCATAGAGGTTATGCCTAAAAATGGGCTATGCAATTACTGCGCAGTACATGGGCGTTTTTCAACAATAGCAACCAACTTCTATCAAATTTTGATCCAACGAAGGTGCGGTGTCTTTTCCTAACGCAGCGGTGCGGTATTATATTTCCAAAGTGCGATGTCGGTTCCATAAATTTCTGGCGAAACAGTGGAACCGGATGTTGTATGATACACATAGCGGCGCAACCATGATGACTACCGATGACTACCTCCTCTTCGACTCTCCGATATTCCCACGGCCTCACTTCTCTATCATCCACTCCCCACAGTATTCGAAAGGGCGAACAATAGGGCAACCTCTCGAGCCCTTATGAATAACGACAACTCCCTATCGCACCGTATCGAACCAGGAAGCAGACCAGACGAGGAAGTGAGCCAGCCAAAAGGCACCAAAAAAGTAGAAATCCGGAAATCTCAATTGACCAGCAAAACACCGAGAGGAGGGAGGAGATCCAGAAGGGTAGGGGATATATAACATCTGACAACACACCATGTTAGATTTGCCTGTTTTGAGCTGACCTTGGAGGGTTTTATTTTTTTGTTGAAACCTCTGCAGTGAGGATTTGTGCGAAATTCACGGCCGAACTGGTTTGCTTCTGCGCTTGATTTACTTCCCGATCCAGTACTTACCGGGTAGTTTAATGTTACTACGATACTGCCGGCACCGGTGATCGACCCGGGATTCTACAAGAGATATCTCAACTTGAGGCTCGCATAGGGTGCCCAGAGGCTTGGGTATGCGGCTCTGACAATGTGGAAGGCTGACTGACAAATTTTGAAGTCGGGGTGACGACCGCGCTCGCTCTGGTAAATCTGATACTGGGAGCATATGTCAAGCATGCGCAGGGTCCCTGGGAGACAGGGCGCTGTAGCCGCCTCCCATTGTACCCCAACCTCTCCCCTAGGAAGAGCGATCCGAGACGAATGTGTTAGAATGCCGGCTAAAGCAAGTGTCGATAGCTTGGTAGTGACCCCAAAAAGCAGTGTTAAGGCTTTTAAAAAATCGGAAAACAGTAATTACTTAAAATTAGGAGTCAAATCCTAATTTGGCACAAGTTTAGCTACAAATCACATTCTTCTCCACGGCTAAAGATCCATCCCTTCCAGACTGCCATAGCTCAAGAGCCGCAATAATGCAGGTAAGATTCTTCTTCCACGGATGGGGTAATACTAATACTTGTACTGTGACATCCGACAGAATTAACAATGAATACGGTATTGGCTACTAGTAACCCCAAACTCACTCCCTTAAGAAGGTGGAAAAAGTTTTGAGAAAGCCTTTCCGACAACGCCAAGACCTAACCTAACTCCCAGGACCCGCAGCTAATCCAACAATTTTATCACACATTATCTAGCTGCCTTGGGCGGTCCGAAATAGTCAAATTCGTCTCTCACCCTAAGCCTTGTCCGGGAACGATTTGAGCTCACCAAGAAAGAATGCTATTGTGGGCGACGAATTTGGCCGTTTTAGATGGCTTCAAGGGGCGATGTTTGGGTAGATACATAGCTACCCGGCTGGCGCAATGGTAGCGCGTCAGACTTCTAATTTCCCTTGGAAATCGATATCTGAAGGTTGTGGGTTCGACCCCCACGTTGGGTTTTTGTATTTTTGGTTGCCCACCTGTAGTTGCAACGATGTAAATTTATTATGTAAGGTCCGACAAGAAGTTTTGAATACGGTAGTTGTTTGAGGTTGACCGGCTAAACATATCCCTGTCTGTTCCAGTTAATAGGATCCTACTCTGGGCGAAATTTTTTCACGGGGCTGCTTTTCCTCCAAGTGTTCCCTCAACGTATACGAGAGCAAAGGGGAAGAGAACATCGTCGGTTGGTCAACGGGACATCGACACCCTTCCGGACGACAAGGGACGAACACGAACGCTACGAGAATCGATCGCTTTTTAGTCCTTTATTCTTTTTGCTTTTCTTGTGTGACCCTTTGTGCACTATCTCAAAACTCGCTCTGGAACATCTGCTTGACCTTCTGGATTATAAATACTAGAACCTCGTTTATATACCCAATCTTTTACTCAGGTGTCATAGCCATTGATGCTAAAAGAGGAACTTGCTTGTGGGTACTCTGGGAGATCTAGTTTGCTGGTGCTAATGATAGGTATCTTGTGTGAAGTAGTGGGGATAGCAGCCGAACGCCCGGTCGCTACCCTCGCATATGCCGCACATACAAGTGCTAGCGCTAGTTGTTAACGCCGCTGCCAACTTTTAGCAAGGCCATGACGTTGTCCCAGCTAAGATAGCGTTATATATACCTAGGGCATTATAGGAACTTCTGCGGATATGAGTGCAATTCTTCCTTCTCCTATTGTGACGGCGGCCGGAAAGTAATCGACCAAAATAAAGCCCTCTTTCCTCCGCCGAAACCACTCATACTTTCCGAATACCGTACCTGTTGGGACCCTCACGTTCCTGCACCAAACCCCCACTCACGACTATTCCAGTTAGTGACAGGGGGCAATCACACCCCCTCACTCGTAAATCTTATTCTACTGACTGCATCATACCTATGATACCATACCTGAAGCGCTACGAACACGGCCGGGGAATCTCGACCGCCGCATAACTACCTAGCACATACCAGCCGCAACAGCTTATGGTACTGGACATATCTCATCCTACTAGAGCACCGCACAACTGGTGGCCCTGCTTCTAACTTTAAGATGTTGATAGGATAGGGATAGTCCTCTGGGCTAGCGGTAGTGTAGTTACTTACTGTTCGTAGTCGTGCTAGTCTCTCATGTTGCTTTTTTTGGTTTCAGTCTGTCTTGGTCATGGGGTGCAGGAGGTCGACATATCTGGGTTCTAGACACTCAACGCTGGCTGACTATTGAATACATGGTATTATATCATACTATGAAATACCTGCGGGTGACTGCCGGACTCTACAGATGACGGCCGTCTTTATGGGAGACGGACGCCATGCCCTAGCCTTCTTAACCATACTGCCCTGGACGCTAGGGGCTTCAAGCTACCGAGGACCCTGTAGGGCACCCTGGGCGGTTAGAGACATAGGGATGGAGTGAAATTGGCTGAGACTTTTTGTTGATTAGTTTGAATTTTCCTACCAAGAGCAATAAAGTACCTCCGCAAAAGTCTTGGTGAAACAGCCTTTTTACACCAAAACGCGCTATGTTTGATCAACCCCCACACCTAGAATTGCTTCAAATAATGTTTGTGACTTAGCTAATTATTTTCACCTTCATTGAAGCTTTCGCCTAGCACCACTTATCAGCTCAATTAGCCCTGTGGGGCTAAGCTACTAGGCTTCAAAGTGGATCATACCCGTTGCTATGCTAATTTTGTATGTAAAATGATACTTTTTGGCATTCTATCGGAAGGTTAGCTATGCCCGATATCACCATACTAGCAGGATCTAAATCGATGCATACATATCCACTCGAACTTGAGCCCCCCATATACACTAGAACTAAATTTGACTGTCAGAATTCTAAACAAAAATCCATAGAATACCCACTCACTCCCATTCTGCCCAGCACTCTTGACAGATACCATTCCCCCTGAGCTCACATTGCCAATTGAACTCGTCTCATTCGTGACCACCTTCCCCTTCATATCTATCTTGAACAGTGAGCTCAACTTGACTTCTCGAACCCCTGCCAAATTCGGAGTTGCTGGTGTTCCATCGGGATTCTTTAAATCAGTGGTTAGGCGATAACTCCCACCCATGATATATGCTATGCCATCCAGGTATGCTACTGAGCCCACCGTCACAAGGCTAAATGTGCCATTATACCTCGGATCAGACAACATTGCCCACCCAGCATCTGGGTTCGTAGTATCATATGTCCATATACCCGTCGTTGGCACCTTCCTGGTTTCATTCCCCCAAACCCCGTTTTGAAGCAGTGCATATATTTCCAAATCACTAGGCCCCAAGTAGATAGTTGTATTATGAGCCCACACAGTCCCGAACCGCATGCGCGGGACTTCGTCACTAAGCCGGATGCTCTGCTCTTGTATTGTGTCAAGCTTATTTACCGTAAAGGTCCTAGTTAGATCTATTCTTCGTAAATGGCTATCTAGAAGGCGGGTTAGTACTAGCACAAAACATGACGAAGGCTTAAATGAGCATACTAGAAGCGATTACTCTAGTGCCCTCCCAAGTTCGGCTCTTAGTTCCCAATGGGAAACCATCCGGGACGCTAAACGTCTCATATCCTCCTACCGTATAAAAGTAATTTCCAACTACAACACCTACTCAAACCGTTAACTCAACAAGATTCTAGCGAGAGTCAAGAGACGGAACACCAACTCTGAGAATTAGCAATCTGAACAAGATCCTTTTCTGGATCCGGTACCTCCGCGAAGACACTTCCATGAAAGAGTATTAGCAGCTCTAGACCCCAGAATAACATTGTAAATAACATTTATAAACCTAGGGCTCCAACAAGACGGAGAATCCAAAGAAAGTGAGGTGACCAAGAAGGCAAAAGGACTGACGGAAGACCCTATGGAAGAAAGAAAAAAGGAGAAAGATCAAAGAGCAGGCAAGAAGGGAGAAAAAACCGCCCCTACTCGGGCCAAGGCTGTGGCTGCGCCTGGGCACTCTCGGGAGGGCGGCCGGCAGCTCAGTATCACTTATCACCTCAACGTGAGTTCCGCTTTAGATAATATTTAGTCAACACAACGTAAAATTTCTCTGTCTACATCAGAAGAGTAACGTTATCCCAGCTATTCCATGAGCTGGTGAGACACGCAGAATGGGGACACTCTAAATATAGCGTAAGTTGAGTCTTGATATCAACCTCTTTAAGGTTAGTGCATCCCATGGGAAGGATAGAACTACAAGGCACAGGTGGATTTCGTACAGCCGACGCCAAGCAATTAACTGAATGAGAGCAAGAGAAGACAAAATAGCGAACAGAAAACATTAGAAATAAAACAAAGGATTATGGGTATTAAAGGCTGAACAGGAGTTCTCCTTTTTTTACATTTATATATATTCACAACTTACCCTTATATGCTTCTCTCTCTCTCTCTCTCTCTCTCTCTCTCACTTTTTTTTCTTTTTCTTGGTATTCTTACATTTTATTTTGTTTGCTGCTTGTTCCCTAGTGTTTTTCTACCCAAGCAAATTTATGTCTTTGGCTACCCTGTATTTGTTGGAGTGTACGAAAACATCCCCCCTGGGACTTGTACTACTGCAGTGCAGGCTATTGATATGCCAATTACCGCTTGATTCTTTGGAGTTCCGTATGGCGATTCGGTGGAGAACCCGCACTGGTTGAGGGTGACCAGAAAGCTAAGGTTGAGGAAGATAAAGTAGACTTTTTAGAACTAGAAGGATCGAATACTGTGGTAAGAGATTTGTTATCGAAACCGTTACTAGGGGTAGTGGTTATTGCATTGCCAGTTTCGCTAGATAGTATGACTAAGAAGGAGAAAAGAGGGATGGAAGACCCTGAGGTAGAAGGAAAAGGGGAGAAAGATCAAAAAGTAAGAAAGAAAGGGGAAAAAACTATTAGAAACCCCTGCTGTCTGATCAGCCCCTGCACTCGCTTCCATTTTTGGGATGGTACGCCAAACTCTAGCCTACTTCCAACGCCTCTCATCGATCCTCCTATCTCCGCCAGAACTGTTTCTATCGGCTATATTGCTACCGAGTGTTGGAGTCAATAGCCCACTAGGAGCAGTGCTCAATGCGCTGGCACTTGGACTTCCGCAATTATTAGAATTCTCTACTGTCAATGGTAGGGATGCCTCATTTTCGAGTCCTTGGATTTCAAAATCCAAAATACTGTCGATTGATGTTGCATGACTGAGATTCACTGGCAGATTACCTTCTTCTGACCTTATCAAGGCATTGAATCGTGTGAGATAGGAATAGCAGAGCTAAGATATATAAGACCTTAATATTAGAGAAACAATACTCGTATCCTTGGGGTTTGCCTTATTCCGAACATCGCATATCATGTCCTATTTAGCACCATTCGCTCAAAGTATCGATTAATCCGTCATTTCACTCCCGTATTGGGTGGAGTTGAAGTCGTGCACCTAACGAATTATTGTTGCATTATGAGACATCACTCTTGCCGTCCCCGGCCGTCCTCCGCAGTCCCCCGTCCTTCACCCTCCCCGGCCATCCCCTGCCGTCCACCCCCCTGCCCTGCACTAACATGTCTCACCCTGTAGGGCCCGCCGCCCTGCCCTTGGGGCGCCCCGGACGGACTACAGCTAGTCGTCCCGTTCCGTCAAGGGCTCTTGGCAGTCCCCCCGCAGGGCCCCGCCGGGCCCCCGGACCGTTGAGAACACTAAAGAGAGGTCCCCCCTACAAGAGTTTCATAGTTACTTTCCCTAGCATGGGAGAGTGGTTTGGGATTTCACTTCACGCTAGAGCACTAATTGACTTCGCGTTATTCCCTACTGGGCTGGATTTTATTTAAGCTTATTAACCGGTTTAAGTTCTTATGCTGCCAGCTCTCCTTCTCGCTCTAAGCCCACTCTAGCTTTATAAATATTGGGAGGTTATAAATGGCCCAGTGGCAGACGATAGAAAGAGAATTCACACAGAACTTAGGCACTTCGCTCACGCTCTTGTCCTTCACTATCTAAAAAAAAAACAAG